GTGTTCAGCCTGGAGAAGAGAAGGCTCCGGGGTATTTCAGTACATAAAGGGCACTGGTAAGAAAGAGAGAGACTTTTTACCAGGTCCTGTAGTGACAGGACAAGGGGCAATGCTTTGAAACTGCAAGAGGGCAGGGTCAGATTGGACAACAGGAAGAAATGTTTTACAGTGAGGGTGGTGAGACACTGGAACAGGTTGCTTGGAGGAGTTGCGGATACCCCTTCCCTGGGAGTGTTCAAGGTCAGGTTGGACGAGGCTTTGAGAAACCTGGTCCAGTGGAAGATGTCCCTGCTCATGACAGGAGCGTTGGACTGGATGGTCTGCGAAGGTCCCTTCCAACCCAAACCCTCTGTGATTTTTATGATGGACAAACAGGAGACCAAGCCTGCCCGGTCCTCCCTCTCCTTTGCGGGGGGTGGTGAGATATAGGACAGTGAGGGGTATGTGTGGGCTTTGGGAGCCTCCCCCAGGGCAGCTCTTCTTGCCTCCCCAGGCCCAGGACAAGTCTGACTTGGTCCTTCATGCAAGGACCCATCTCTCTTTATAATCTCCCCTGCCACACCTGCGGCAGCCCCAGCCCTAGCAGTTACCTACTGGTCGGTCATGTGGATCAATGCTTCCTCTCATACTGCCCTTGTGTAATGCCGGGGAAGCCAACCCAGCCTTGGGCAGTCCCTGTGCCCCTGGGGGAAGCCATGAGAAGCAACAAGTGACCCCCGCCTCCCTCTTTGCCTGCTCCGGCTTGGGAGAAAACCAGACCACGCTGAGCAACACAGGGCAGGAGCCAGTTCACGGTTGCAGAGGAGATAAAAAGGAAAGTGGTGTGCCAGGCAGGCGAGACATCGCCAGCATTTACAGATCCTGAGCCATAAGCCTTAACTCTAAGTGGTTTGGTATCGTGTTCTCCATCTCCAGCCAGGATTGCTCCCACCATGTCCTGGAAAATAGGGAAAGGAACTCCGTATGTGTTTCCCCTCTCTGAAGACTGCAATGTCCTGTCACAAGCAGTGTAGCCAGGAGCACATCTGGGCTTTAAAGCCCTTGAAGACATAAGCTAAGCAAAAAGCCATGAAATTAAACTGGGCAGTTAGAAATTAAGGAAACCAATGCTGTGGCCATGTGGGCAGACTTTTATACAGGAGAAGATGCTCAGCAAGCACAGCCCCCTCAGGCAATCATGTCCTGCTGACCCCTCGCTCTGCTGTTTTGCAGCACATCCCGATGCCTGTGCTGTACGGTGTCTTTCTGCACATGGGAGTGGCAGCGCTGAACAGCATCCAGGTGAGCAGGGGCTGTTTTGGGGATAAGGGGATTTGCTCGACGCCAGCTCTCACCGCACAGCAGAGCCTGGATTTTAACTCTGTGTGATGTGCAGCCTAGCATGGGCATCGGTCTTTCTCCAGCCTGGGCCAGGAGAAGGAGGGACAGATGGACCTTTCTAGGACAGAGGAAAGGGAAAGGGAGCTGTATTGGATGCTGAGGAGCACAAGCAACTTCTGCACTGATGGGTCAGGTGGTTTTGGAGGAGTGGAGGGACCAGTGGATAATCCAGACTTGCACCAAAAGACATAGTGACATCCCCATCTGGGAGCTGCAGGCAGAGCTGGGACCTACTAATCTTTGGTCCTGGCATTGCTGCTGATGTGCCAGCTGCGTTCCTCTCCTGAGAAATCCACAGAGGGGAAAAAAGTCCCCACTCTAGAAATACCTACCCCAGTTTTTCCTCTTAACAGTACATTTTCCTTGCAACTATCCTCCTCTGGATGGCAAGCTGGGAAACCCCCTCCATTGCTCCCTCTGCTTGGGGAATCCAGGGTTGTGCTCTGGCAAAGGCAGCAGCAGTTTCCTGCATGAAGAGAGGGGAATCAAGGTGCTGTTATCTCTCAATTAACCCTTTTAAACCAGCTTGAGTCGTTTCTAGATGTCTGCCTGAAAAGAGCTCAGCTGGTCTGGGGCGATGGTGGTACCAGGACCCCTGGTCTTGCAGACAAACTCACCCGCCCAGGCATCACGCTGGCAGCACTGCAGACAGATGGAGGGCTGAACTGCAAAAACAATGGCAAAACCCCATCCTGTCAGCCCAGGTCCCAGCAGGGAGGTGGGTGAGAGCTGCCTGAAAGCTGGAGGTGTGTGACTCACATGCTGTCTTCTTCCTACAGCTCACAGACCGTGTGCGGCTGCTCCTGATGCCAGCCAAGCACCAGCCAGACCTCACCTACCTCCGCCACGTGCCCCTGCGCCAGGTGCACCTCTTCACTGTCATCCAGCTGCTGTGCCTGGCCCTACTCTGGGTCATCAAGTCCACAGCGGCTGCTATTATTTTCCCAGTGATGGTATGACATTCCTTTTAATTGGGTGGCACTGTTTTGGTGCTGGGCTGGGTGCTGCCCACAAGTGTCCTGAGCATCGCTGGAGCCCCAGCAAGGGGCAAGGGATGCGGGGCTGCCCTGGGTGGGGGCACGCCCTGGCTGGTGGTGTACGTGGGTGCTCAGACCCCCAAGGGCTGGTGGGGTCCCTGCAGGGCCACAGCATGGCTTTGCCCTGGTGGCACTGGCCTCCTGGGTTGGGGCCGGCGGGGCTGTCACTGCTTTGCAGGCATTGAGCGAGTACCGTCCCCTCGGACCAAGCCAGGACACGTGACATGCCACATCCCTGGCACTTACCAGGGGGATGGAGGGAGTGTGACTGGGACCACGCTGTCTATTCCCTGGCCCCCAGCCCCAAGCACTGTGTGATGTTGATCCACGCTTCGCCCTGGCCCTAGCTGCTGGCACTGGTGGGGATCCGGAAGGGGCTGGAGCGGGTCTTCTCCCTGCACGACCTGAGCTGGCTGGACAGCCTCTTGCCCGAAGCAGCCGGGAAGCAGGCCGAGGGGAAACAGCCCAGCAGTCAGAAGGAGGAGGAAAGCCATGGCGAGGAGGTAGGTGATGCCCTGGGTGCTCCGCTCCTTCACAGCCGTCCCCGGGGCTGCTCTGGCGCGGGGGCTGAGCCTGGCCCGAGCTAAGGCTGAGCCAGGTTGGGACCGCAGCTGGCGGCACGGTGGGAGCAAGGGCCGGGAGTGCTGCCAGTC